GAGAGAGAGAGAGAGAGAGAGAGAGAGAGAGAGAGAGAGAGAGAGAGAGAGAGAGAGAGAGAGAAGAGAGAGAGAGAGAGAGGAGAGAGGAGAAGGGAGGGGGGGGGGAGAAGAGTAGGATTGAGAGACAGGAAAAGCAGACAGATGGATGGACAGAGGAGACCGAGAGATTCTGTATCATTTTACGAAGATTTCAGCCAGCCGCTTTAGTCGTGCAGCTGTGTAAGGGAAATGAGTCAGTATATTTTTTAACTTTTTTTTAAGGGCCTGGCGGTCAGCGGATATCCTAATCATATGCAAAACTTTACTTCATTTGCAAATATGTTCTAAAGATTCGCCAAAATATCTCACATTTTCTTTCAACAGTACTATTTATAAAAAAAAGTGGAGCTGACTTCGTGCGTTTTGCTTAGGTGCATTTTTTTTTCGTTTTTTGCAAGATCTATATCACAGCAATAAGTCCATTACTTTTGAATGAGATTACTGGTTAGAGAAAGAAGCATACTAATATAATTTTGAAATCAAACGGGCATCAATAGGTTTCAAGGAATCTAAAGAGACAATTCAGTAAGTCGAGGTTTTACTCCTATAGTGTCTGATCATTATTATTTGCAAACCATCCGTAAGGGATTAGTTCGATAATTAGCTCATTTGTTTAATAGGACACTGTGATTATCTGCGTTTGATTTGGATAAGTTAATAAAGATATTTTGGGTGATTTGGATAGGTTAATAAAGCCATTTTGGTTAAGCCGATTTTTGATAAATCACTAATATTCTCTTAACATGAAATGTCTTTCAAAGCATCACGGTGTAAACTATAAAACTATATTGCTGTTTATCTCTCTTGTACGAAAAACACTTGTGGACGGCTTATAACAAATGTGTGTATCAAAGAGGGAAGATTTTTTTTTTTAACTAAATTTAGAGCACTACATTAAAAGCTACGTGGCAAATCGACGTTTTCTTCTTTCCGATCACATGATCATATCAGGTGATTGCACAGGTGGAAGATATGGCGAGCTGTCCTCACTTTCTTCGTCGTTATTTTGCAGACCTACGAATTTTAGTTTATTTACAAGCAAAATGTATGTGTTTTGGGGGTATTATTGGAAATACAACCACACAATTATAGGGGGGGGTAAAGAATCTAGCTTAAGCACATCATTCTATGATAGTTTTCTTCAATACCATCTTTTTCGCGTTATCCAGAGGATAAAAACCCTTATAGAGGGTTAAAACCACGATTTCCAGGAGTGCAGTACCGTTTACCGTACGCCGCCGCAGTAACCGTACGCCTTCAGCGCCGCGACAAAATAACAAGAAGTCGTTAAGAGCGACGGGAAATCGGACGGATTTGTAGCGGATGACGTATGCGACGGAAATCAAATGAGCCAATTAGTCGTGTGTGAACGAGACGTGAACATGGAAACTCAATAGAACCAATCAGATATGGATAGATCATCACGTGACAATAGAAGCTGGGCCTAGGAGAACCCTTTTGAAATTCAAATCTGGCTAGACCGTGAGTAGGTTGTGAAAACAATTATTTCGATTTCATCGCGAAATATCAACAAAACGAAGCATGCTTACTAAATCTACGAGATCACTGTGTACTGTTAGTGGAAGTACAATGCCCGTACTGTAAGGTTTGTGGTGCATGGAAAAGGATTAAAAAACGAAGAAAGC